GTTTTTCACATCTCTCACTGTGTGCAGGCTCCTGTGCACACCCTTGCTCTGGCTGTGGCTCCCCAAAGGGCTCTCTCCCCTACTTGTAAAGACTACTCATTCACCAGCCAACTGCTAAGTTAGGTCCCCTCTCTCATGTTAAAATTCCTCCTGTCCCAGTTAGTCTCTTTCAACACAACTATCTGCAGGTTGTCCACAATCCCCTTTCTTAAACTACCCTTCAGGCTCTTGGGTTGCTTTTTTCAAGCTCAGGTTTTTGCGCATGTTAACTCTCAAAAAGGTTCTGATAACCTTCCAAACAAAGAAATCTTTGCTTTCCTTCTTCACACCACCATCAAGCCACAAAACCAGCTGCTTAAGCCCACTGTGTAATTTCTATTATATGTTGGCTGTACTCTTCATAGTTCAAATATACATAGATTATCAAGGAAAGATTGCTGTAAAAATACACTGGATCTGTTTATTATGGAATGTTATCATCTTTCCGTTGCTAGTAAAATTAATTACAACTCATTTTTTATTAGTGTTTAGTCTGCGAGAAACACTGAAATGCTATTTACTGACTGAAGATTCAAAAACAGTTCATTTTGACATAGATGAAGATGGTAATTATGAAATATCAACCAAGGATTCGCAATCCCATGAAGGTAGTGTGCTTTTTATACCAAACCCCACCTATCATATGTATAGTACTACAGACATTTTTTAATGTACTATTATGTGTACTGTGTTCAGTTTTGGGCCCCCCACTACAGGAAAGACACTGAGGTGCTGGAGCATGTCCAGAGAAGAGCAACAAGGGTTCTGGAGCACAAGTCTTGTGAGGAGCAGCTGAGGGAACTGGGGTTGTTTAGCCTGGAGAAGAGGAGGCTGAGGGGAGACCATATCGCCCTCTACAGCTGCCTGAAAGGAGGTTGTAGCGAGGGGGGTGTCGATCTCTTCTCCCAGGTAACAGGTGATAGGATAAGGGTAAATGGACTCAGATTGCACCAGGGCAGGTTTAGGTCAGACATTAGGAAAAATTTTTTCACTGAAAGGGTTGTTAAGCATTGGAGAATGGGCTGCCAGGGAAGTGGTTGAGTGCCCATCCCTGGAGTTCTTTAAAAGATGTGTAGTTGTGGTGCTTAGGGACACAATTCAGTGGTGGACTTGGCAATGTTAGGTTAATGGTTGGACTTGATGATCTTAAGGGTCTTTTCCAACCTAAACGATTCTATGATTCTGTGATTCTGTGTTTTCTGAATATTGGTAGTGATATAAGAAAACTTCTGTTCCAGTTTACAGTAGGTATGTAATATACTTAAATGATAAGAAGATTATTTTTTTCATTCCCATTTGGGTTAATGGAAAGTCTAGATGCTTGGCTATTACGAGAGTGAAAACAAAGATAATCCTCAGAGACAAGGGCAAAATGGAGAAAAATAGAAAATATTTTGGAATTTTCAGGATTATCTTATTTTTCATGGAACTGTTACCTCGAATGGGGCTTCTCTAATTGACACAAAACCCAGTATTACAACTAACATCACAGAAGTAGTTGTTAGAGGGCATTCTTTTGGCAGAGAAAACACAAATAAAACAAATGCCATGACTCTAGATCTATAAATTTTCCAGCGATGTGAAAGTAGGGGGAAAAACAACAAACCAGATTTCTAACCAAAATATGGGGGAAAGTTGAAATATTTATTTACCAACTTACTGAAACTTTATCTCTTACGAAACCCCAGCCTTTACAGGAATGAGAAGTCCATTATATATGCTTCAGATAAAGATATAGAAAGGCTTGCCTGATATATTTATAAATTAAATTAAAGTTATTTTTATTCTATTAAATTGTGAATAATGGAAGCTGCACTGATAAGGTATGTAAGCGTGCTTTATATATTTTGAAGTATCTTTTACTTGATGACTTCATAGGATTTTGGAGTAACTCCTATGATTAGTATTGCTAATTTATGAACAGAACCACAACCTGTATAGGCGTACAATAGAAGCAGTCTCTGAATAGATTCGTAGTGTGACAATCTTCATGTAGAAGATACTGGCGTTCCTAGAAGAAAAAGAAAAAAAAAAAAAGGAAATGCTATGTAAAATTCTTGTGTATGTAAACACAAGTGCCACAAACATATATTCAAGATGATACAGTTAAGACAACATCTTATTAGGAACCAGCTGTAACCTAGATGTTTGTGACTTTGACCTGAAGTGTGTGGTGCCTTCCCTAGATAGCTGGCTATGTGATTCAGGCTGATGCTAGAAAAGCCAGAAACCCCTGCTATTGCTACCTGTTAACTTTCCAACCTTGTACATTTTTTATTAGGGTCCTCACGTCTGCTGCCAAAGACTTCCAGGCTTCTCTTTGATAGGATTTTAGGCCTTATGTCTCGTTACTGACCTCTATTTTCTGAGGTGCATTCTCTTTTGCAAAAGATAGTTAATTAATGAATACATATATTAGACTCAGAGTCCAGACTTCAGAGCACCTGTTCACAAGTTCGAACAGTACAGTCTGCCGGGGTTATATGAATTCAGAGACCTGCAGGAAATGAAGACCGATGCCTATTGCTATTATAAACTCTTTCTCAGATTATGTTTTAAAACATCTCTTTAAATTGTTTGTGATGTTTTTAAATTTGAAGAATGTAAATATCTAATTTTTCATACTTGTTAAATATCTTCTGTTTCAGATATTGCATGGTTAAGTGTGTTTACAAGGAATGAACAAGCGGTTACTGGTAAGACTCCTGTGGGAATAAAATATATCATTCTCTTTGTTAGGGTCTAGTTTTGAAGAGATGTTTGAGAGTAGGACAAGAAATTAGTAATGTTTTATACACAGACTTGACATTAGAAGTAACAATTATACCAGATTCTCATTTAGGTCAGGTTCTGACCTATAGCCAGAGAAGGCCAAGGATGTAACTCACATTGGCAGATGTCCCTGATCAACTGGCTGAACTCCCGCATCCCTCTTTTGTTACCATTCCTACCTCTAAGTCAGAATGCTCTTGACTTGGGTATGAAACCTCTCTTCCCTGGTGGTCTGCCTCCAACGTGCTACAACTGAAGTTGGACAATTGCAGCTGAGGCAATCTAAACTGATGTCACAAAAGTAATAAAACGGGCCCTCTACATGCTGCTACATTTATCTGAATACATGTATAAACTAAGTAAAATACACTAGGCTGGAGTGTGTCTCAATTTTTAACAAGGATTTCTAGGCTATTTTCATGCTGTAGCTGGCTCAAACAAAATTCCTTCAGAAGTCTTCCACAACAGCATTGCAGTTAGGGTAAACTAGGGCAACTAAAATCATGGCCAGGATTAGAGCAGCTAAAATCAGTCAGGTGGGATTAATATGTTCTGCTGATTCTGAATATCCTCCAAAGGCTAAAAAATACCTTTGATAATATGAAAGAAAATCTCCTTAACTGCAACTGTTAATGCATAATTACCCAACCTCTGTAAAATTTGTATTCAGTTGCCGCAGTGATGGACATGTAGATCAACTGCTGCTTTCTTTTATATTTTTTGTCTTAAACGGTACACCTGAGACACTTTTAAAAGCACAGCTGGTGTTAGTTGAAGTAAATCTGCAAGGCAGTCAGATAGCTATAATGTCACTAGATAGATATTAATACCACTGGTTTTGCTAGGTAATGCTCTTGTATGCATATCAGTTGACAAAGAGTAGCTTAATTTATTTACTTTTTGCTGAGGCCTTGAAGTACCAAAAGGTAACAGTTATTGTCAGCTTATCAGGCTGAGCAGTATCCTGTATTATCGATATACTGCCATTTCCTGCAGCTGAAAAACAGTATTATTTCAAAAGGGAGTAAACCCAATGCACTCAGAATGATGATAGCGGACATACTTTGCCTTACAAAGCATGCACAAAATAAAAGGTAAAAAATCCCACATTTTCCATAGTGATGTATACACAGTCACGTATATTATGTAAACAAGTACGCATTAAATACTAATATTTGAACTTTGTAATTCATATTATCTACATTAAATATAACTGCTATTCCATACATTAACTATAAATATAGAGAAAGAAAGTATATATATGGCAAATTTAAAGCATCACAAAGCCATAGGCTTTAAATATTTTACAGAAGAGAAGGGTATCAAGAGTGGTTATATTTGTTTCTATTCCTATGCCTATTGATGTGAAGTGAACCTGAATGTTGTCTCTTTACAAAATATTTTTAGCTATGCTTCATTTTACAAAGTGATACACATTTTATTACAATATTCTCCTCTATGTAAAACAGATTCTAAAAATTTGGTGATCCTCACACAAAGATCAAAGCTTAATGAATTTGTCCTATTGTGCAAGGGTAAGACGCATCTCTCTCTGAAGGTAAGAAGTTTGTTTCCTGTGTAACTTGTGGGTGCTCTTTCTTACTATAGGACAATTTCCCCTACAGACCTTTTCAAATTCATGTTCCTTTACTTACCCCTTCCACATTTCACAACTTCTGACTACCTTCCTCTGTTCTGTCTGGGGAAATATTTAAAGTAGGTTATTGCAAAAATCTTTGGGTTAGGTAGGTGACTACTGTCAATAGGAGACAGTCCGGGTTGTTGAGTTCCAGTCTCTGTGGAGGGAGAGGGGGCTTCTTAACCAGAAAACGTGCAGGAAATAAAAGGGGAGGAAGAAGTAGGAATGGTGCCTTAGAAAGAGATTAGTTTAAGAGGGGAATTATTTTCTCCTAATCAATCCAGATTACAAGATAAGGAATGTGAGGAAAAGAAAATACAGCTGAACATAGTATCCTGTTTTAAACATTTACCATCTGTTGTCAGAGCATTCTCATTTTCTCCAGTCCTGTGAAGGTTTGTCTATGGTAGAAAGAGCAGGCAAGGATAGTTTTCCCCATTGGAGGGTTATAACCTTTACTAAAATCTGTCTGAGGAAGAACGTTATGTTGGAATTTACCCTCTAAAACAGGGCAAAGGTCTAAGAAGCTCTGTTTACACAGGTTATGTTGAGATAAAGAATGACCTTCACCTAATGCTGGCCATGCATGATGATGTAAATTGCAAAATGCTTCCTCAGATTAAGTCTTTAATGGTTTTCATTTGTTTTTAATTCACAGATGACTTTCCATAAAAGCTATTTCCTGAAATTATCCAGGGAAATGTATGTTGCAAGACACATTAATTATATTTATAGCCTATTCTCCCACTGGAATTTTTTTTTCTGTCCTTGAAAGAGCAACTATTTTAAAAGGATTTTTCTGGTTCAGAGATTAACTTTTCATAAATTAATTGTTTGAAAGCTATTCCACCAAGTCAGGGAAAGAACTGAGTGTTGAGCCCTAATGGATTTTACTTCCTAGTCGCCTATTTTGAAGTACCAGGTTATACCAGATTGTGTTTCTTGACATGATTAAAAGCAGTTCTTATCTGAAAATGAGGTAAGACATATTTAGTGTCTCCCAAATATGTAAAAACCTTGGAAAGATCATGGACCTTTCTTTTTCCAGCAGAATACAAATCATTTTCATAATCTCAG